GATCTTAAATGTTCTTGCCATTAAAAGAAATGATGATCCTGTGAGGTGATGGAAGTATTAGCTAATGCTGTGATGGTAGTGATTTTGCAATATGTATCAAACTACACCTTAAACTTACACAATGTAATATGTCAGTTATATCTCAATAAAGCCTGAGGCTAGGAGGTAGGGGGAACTGTTATTATAAGTATACTTTATGGAAGTTCAGGTTGAATATGTGTATAGACACATGGAAGACATTTTAAAACCTAAATCAAAATCTTTAGGGATAAAGTTTATGTTTAGGGATAAAAATTATGTTTGAGTTGAAAAATAAACTGGATGGGAGACCTCCCTGGTGGTCCAGTCATTATGACCCGAGTCATAACACAGAGTATTAACTGAAGTTATGACCCGGAGTCAATCTGTTTAAGAGATAACTGTGTAAGGCAAAGATTCCAAAAACAAATTATGGATTTGTAACACATAAAAGTAAAATATATGACCATCATAGTGTTCAGGCAAGGAGAGGAGAAATTAGTTATGAAAAGAGGAAACGTTTAAAATTTGCGAAGTCAGAAGTAAAGCTGTCACTCACGGATGACATGATTGTTCATATGGAAAACTCAAAAGAATCTATAGATAAACTCTTAGAATTAAAAAATGAATTTACAAAGTTGTCAATATTAGATCAGTGTTGGATTTTGGAAGTCATTCATTTCTTTGTATTAGCCATAGACAGAAAACAATATTTAGAAGATAATGCTTACATTAGCATTCAAAAACATTAAGTGTAGAGATACCTTGTTTTATTGTGCTTTGCTGTATTACCCTACCCAGACACTGCACTTTTTATAAACTGAAGTTTTCTGGCAACACTGGGTTGTCAGCTGATGGTTAGTTCCTGGTTTGTTTTTTTTTTTTAGCTAATAAAGTACTTTTAAATTAAGGTATGTACATTGTTCCTTTAGACATAATGCTGTTAACCCACCTCATAGACTTAGTACAATGTAAACATGACTTTTTTTATGCACTGGGAAGCCAAAAAAATTGTGTGACTCACTTTATTTTGATACTTCCTTTATTGCAGTGGGTCTGAAACCAAGCCCACAATATCTCTGAGATAGCTAGGATTGAATGCAATATTAATTCTACACAAAAAAAACTATAAAGAATTCCTAAGAGAACAAAGGGTATGAATTAGTAGATATGTAGTTTTCATAAAGAAGATTATTGTAAAGAAGTCAGTTTTTCCTAAGCTTATCTATAGATTTAATATCCCAGTCAAAATTCCACAATGCTTTTTTTTAGGAAAAGGAATTTAGTAGAAAATGAACAGCTAGTTTCGAAATATAGACTCCAAATGGGAAACAGTAGTTGGAGAAAATATTGAAGAAAAAGATAGAAGTTAGAGGATTTATACTTCCAGATATCAAGAGTAAAGCTATAATAATTGAAAGTGTAATATTGGCATAAGAATAGACAGACAGACTTGTAGAACAGAGTTCAGCAATGTCTTTCAACACATGATGCTGAATCAGTAGTTAAAGTGAGGCTTTTCATTCACAAAAATCAATTTCAGATGGATCAGAGACCTTAATATAAAGTTCTCAGTTGTGTGAAAAAAATCCCAAATTTAAAAAATGGAATGAAGTAAGTAATAAAGATTAAGAGCTGATATTAATGCAGTATGAAACAAAGCTTATGTAATCCTTTAGCTGAATTTGCTGCAAAAAGATAGAAAAGGATACATACATTGTATGAAACCAATCACTAATGGTAGCTGTCTGTATAATGGTTACCTATAACAGGAGATAATGTGGATGTATAAAGACCGGTGAATGATGATTGGGGGAGTTTATGAGCAGGTCTTTTGATGTGCCAGTATGCTCTATGTCGGTGGTTCTGTGATCTGTGGACACCTGACTAACCAATACTCTTTTGGGGATTCCATGATAATACTAAAATATTATTTGCCTTTTTCTTTGTTTTTGTGTTTTCACGGTTGTAGCAGAAGCAATACAGGTAAACATTAGTGCAAGTCAAGGCAGTACTGACTGTGCTAGTACTCACTGCATTCTTCACAGCCACACACGTGGGGTACATACGTTTTACCTCAGAATATCCTTGATGATGCAGGAAAAATAATTTTATTAAATTATGACCTTTGAGTACACATCTTTTTAAAGTGTGCAGTGAAATGAGAAGTATGCGTAAAACACAGTGTGGCGGCTTCAAGGAAGAAGATTTGTGTTGAACTGGCTGCTCCATTCATGGAGATATGATTTTACATGAAAGACCAACTGGCACTAATACTCAGATTTGAGTACTTGGCAGATATTTTCTTGAAAATGAATAAACCTCTCACTTCAAGGAAAACAATTAATAGTCTCTCTAGCCAATGGTAAAATTTGAGCTTTTAAGCAAAACACTTGGAAAACTTACATCCACTGTAGTGAGTCTGATAGCTTCACAGTCTTTTCCAGTGAGATTATTGGTGATGTTAACAAGTGTGATGTTTTGATTTTGTATAGTGAAATACGTCAGTATTTGGAAGATCTGCAAAGCTTAGTGAACAGTATTTTTCAAATGATCAATGTATAGTGTTATAAAATCATAAATGATGCATTCAAAATACAAAGTGGAAAGTGGATTATAATGCAGAAGAGTATGATAATTTATTCATGTGGTTTCAGATTCTCCATTGCAACTAATCTTTTAAATATTGCCACTTGTCATATTTTTGTGTAGTATCAAAAAAGACTATTTACAATTATCTGATATTCTTCCCTTTTCCATATATATATTTGTGTGTGTGTGAGTGATGCTGGGTTTTCTTCCTATCCTTCCACCTGAACAACAAATTGCAACAAATGAAACATAGAAGCAGATGTGAGAATCTAGCTGTTTTCCCATTAAGCCAGAGTTTGAGATTTACAAAAATGTAAAACAGTGGCACCCTTCTAATTTTACTTATTTATTGAAAGAAAATTTTTTTATCTTACATGGTTGAGTTTGTGATTGTTATTTTTAGATTAATAAATACTTAAAGTTGTTAATTTCCGATATGCCAGTTATTGATAAATATATCAAAAAACTTCTTGACTGCTTAATTTTTAAGACTGTAAAAGGCTTCTAAGATCCGAGTTTGAGAACTGCTGTTGATTACATGAGTATGATTCCATGAATATGCCCATTTTTTAATTAACAAACTATAATTTGTATATTTGCTCTTACATTTTAGTAACAGTGTTATCTTCCTTAGTTGTGAGGATTTGTCTAAGATGATGGGGAGTATTTCTGACTTGAGTAATAGGTAACAGCATGGACAGGAGAGAATGAGCAGCCAACAGAATGACTATAGATAGGATGGTTGTAATTTGTTGATGTTTTATTGTTTAAGAGCCTGTAAGGTTCATTTTTTTTTTTTAAATGAAATTTATACTGGAAATACCAGAAAAATCTTTGACATAGTTTTATTTCCTCTCATTTTCCCTTATATACTTTCATTAGTTCATAGACACATAAATTATTCCTAGCTGATGTAAAGGTGAGACAGTTTGGTTTTACCTGAAGTATAGAGGCATATATGCCTCGCTTCCCTGGTAGCTCAACTGTAAGGAATCCACCTGCAATGCAGAAGACCCTAGTTTAGTCTCTGGGTTGGGAAGATCCCCTGGAGAAGGGAACGGCTACCCACTTCACTATTCTTGCCTGGAGAATTCCAGGGACAGAGGAACTTGGCAGGTTACAATCCATGGGGTCACAAAGAGTCAGACATGACTGAACGACCTTCACTTTCAACTTTTGACAAATGAGCACTGGGCTTGATCCCATTTTTAGTACAGACAGAAGAGTGGTGATAGCTCAATTGGTCATTAAATTCAGCAAGTATTATTATTTGTATACTGAGCAGAAAGCATTGCACTGCTTATGATTATTTTGGGGGGAACTCAAGTTGCTAACAGTCTACTGTTGGAGAAAAGTTTGGGGACTTCGCTGGTGGTCCAGTGCCTAAGACTCTGAACTCCCAATACCAGGACCCCAGATTTGGTCCCTGATCAGGGAACTAGATACCACATGCCATGTTAAAGATGAAGACCCTACATACTGCAGCTGAGACCCTGCACAGCCAAATAAATAGATATATTTTTTTTTCATTTAACAAAAATTAATTAGACCAGAAAATCAAATGGGGGCTTCCTAGGTGGCGCTGGAGTTACTGCCTGATAGTGCAAGAGTAATTGTTCCCACAAAAGCAGGAGCATAGAAAGGAAAGTAGTAGCCGATGAATAGAACTTTAAAGGATAGTTGGGCTAATTTCCTCTTTTAAAAATATCTTTTTGTTCTTGTTTCTAATTTAAAATGATAATGCATATTATATACAGACTTAAGCATTGTAAAAATATATACCATCCATGATGAAAGTCTTAAGGGATACCCAGCCACCTGCCAGTTAACCATCGGTAACAGTTTGATACATAGTTCTTTCATGTCTAATGTACATGTTTGCATATTACTTTAAAATCAGGTCACATATTGATTCTGCAAATATGTTGGATGGTTAAGTTTCTGGTTTTCAATATTATAAACACCATGATATCTAAATTTTGGTTTTTGTATTCTTTTCTTGATACCTAAGATTTTGAAAGAAGGAAGGAGCAATTTTGCTTGAAGCTCGAGTAAAAATAAGTTTATGCATTATAGAAATATTTAACAGTAAAAATCTATTATAATCCCCTTATTAAATGTTGATGAACTAATTATACCATTTAGAAAGTTGAATTTATGTACCTCTAAATGGGATATATCCTTCAGTTTGAAAGTAAATTATTTTGTGGTGAGCATGGAATTGGTGAGTGTAGAGCACAGATCTGGGGGTAGGTAAACACCAAAGGAAAGACCAGTAATATTTTGCCTTCCTTCCATATTTCCGGTTACTTGTCTTTTTGTAGTTGTTTAAAATGTAATTTTTATAGTGGGAATTGCTCATTCAAATGTTGCTGTTCTTTTCATTGTAGGTAACATTGTACAACACTGATCAGGATGGTAGTGATAGCCCACGCAGTAGCCTTAACAACAGTCTCTCAGATCAGAGTTTGGCATCCGTTAATTTGAACAGTGTTGGAAGCGTGCATAGTTACACACCGGTAAGTCTTCGTGAACTTAACTCCTTTGATGAGTACTCATTTAGTGCTTAAAACTGAACCAAATGTAATTGAAATGCAAATAAAAAATGAATATGTATATTTCTCATTGGTCAGTTAATGATCATTAGCTTAGATAGGCAAAACAGATTTTTATTATACCATAGCAAGTTAGATACAAACATATTGTTGTACTATGTTATATATTTTGGTCTACTTAATCTGTTCCATGCCAAGTGAAAAACAATTGGAATAGGAAAAGAATTTTTACTTTACTTTTCGAAAGCTGTGTTTGATGGTATTTTATAGCCCTTGGTTAAAAGAGCTTAGAGGATATGTATATCACCTTTTCCCCAGAAGTGTATCTGAGAACAGGATTCTACAAAACCCACATGTTAGGATGACCTGGTACCCAGTTGCTTACCAGTCTTGTATTTTTAGATTGGGTCTAGAAAACAAAGGTATGCTCTAAAGGGACCTGTGTGAGTCTTCTTGCTCCTATGCTGACCCTTGTTATCTGATACTTCTTTTCAAGTCATCTTGCAACTATCTTCCACAGTAGACAGAAGGGAACCCAGGAGAGTCACACACCAACCACACTGTTCATGGTACAGATTTGATCTCATCAAGTCACTCTCTGTTCCAAGATGAGTAAATAGGTAAAAGCTTACACAAGGAAAAAGTAAAAGGGACAGAGGGGACCCGAATTTAAGAAATAACAAGAGGGAAACAAAAACTTTTAAAATTCACATTGAATGTAGGAAAAAAAGATGACTACAAACTGTTAACAGTGCTCTGGGGGAAAAATATTTTTCAAGAACGCAGAAAAAAACAGATAAAGGAATAACAGTTATGTTAAAGAATACAATAGGTATGGAGAACTGCAAATTATAGGTGTCCCCAAATAGTTGGTACAGAGCAGTTTTCAAAAGAAATAAAGAATAAAAGGGTTAATGAGCTCTAAGAAAAATAAATGGAAAAAACTATCTAGACACATCATGACAAATTTTTTAATTTCAGAAGTAGTAATAGAAACTCTAGCAAAAGAAATAGGGTGCATTCAGAGAAACACAAATCATACTTTTCTTCCATAATACTAAATGCCAGAAGATAATGGAACAGTTTCATACAGTGTTGAGGGAACAGATTTGGAATTATAAATATTATGCCCACCAAATTTTCATTCAGTTGTGAAGTCAAAAAAAGACATTAATTCTTTAATACAGAGTTTGGAAACCATCCTACCCCTGTTTTCATGCACCCTTCTGAAAAAAAATTACATATTTAGCTGATTGGGTGGTGAATTAAATTACTCAGTAATGATGAAGGCATGATAGAAAAGGACTAGTTGGGGCACTGAGCAAACTCAGCAAAGATTTAGTAATTTTAAGTTGTTTTAAAATAATTAGAGTAGAAAATTGTGAAATGAAATCAAAGGATACAGAATTCAAAATTATAGAATATAAGAGGAAAAAGAAGCCTTTACAGAAACAGGTGACAGAAGTGGGAGCAGACATGTCTGTTATTCCAGTGCATGTAAGAGAGTTAAACTCCCCTGTTAAAAACTAGACATTGTGGACTACTTTTATTTTTCTCCTTCATTTAACAAGGTAGTCAGTCATTAAGAGCTCCTAAAGCAACAGTACAGTGTGAGCTTGTGGTTGGGCTTATCACGTATCCATGGATTGAGCTTTTAAGGACACAGTAAGGCTAAATGAATTGTGACAGTTTTACTACTTATGCATCCTGTATAAGCCAGATCACTGTGGTGTCAGCTCCCGACGTCCCACAGGATGACACTAAACCACAGGAGCCAGATGAGAGACTGCACAAGCGATGGGTGCCTGTTGTGGAGGAGCAAATTCCATTCTGTACCTAAATTGTTACACAACTTGCAGCTGTACCGGAAGGCTGTAACTCAGAAAGTCCCCTCCCTAACTGGAAACAAGGAGGCAGATGAGAAACCATCTCTTGGCAGATTCCTGTAAGTTAGAGAGAGAGACTGCTTTCCCTCAAGTAGGAAAATGGATGAAAAATACCAGATAATAATTTGCTGTTTGTAAGGCCACTCATCATCCTTTGTTCTGGGGTAATCACAGTATTTTCAAAGGCCTAGGTCATTCTGCCATTGACATTTGCTTACATGGCCTGTGTGAAGACGTCTAAAGTCACTAGAGTTCCAGTTGGTGAAGCCATTGCCCTACACAAAATTCATATTTTTTCAGGTCATTGTAGACTCCTTGTGAGTATCATTTTGAAAGGCTGTATAAACTTATGGTCACTGAAAGTGAAAGTTGCTCAGTCATATCTGACTCTTTGTGACCTCATAAACAGTATGTAGCCCACCAGGCTCCTCTGTCCATGGGATTCTCCAGGCAAGAACACTGAAATGGGTAGCCATTCCATTCTCCAGGGGATCTTCCTGACCCAGGGATCGAACCCAGGTCTCCTGCATTGCAGGCAGATTCTTTACCATCTGAGCCACCAGGGAAGCCCACTTATAGTCACTGCTCATGTCTTATTTAATTTTGCAAAACACTAAACCATATGGTAGTTTGTCACTGCTTAATATCTTTAAGAGATATTGCTGATCATGTTTCATTCATTTTATTTCTAGTTGTGCTATCTTCAGAGATAATTCTAACTTAGGTGTTCAAGGTACTCTTTTTCCCTTTCAGAGTTGAAGGCCCTGATCTGTTTTTCTCAGCATCTCCTTTGTCTTTTATCCTTCACTTCTCATTTCCCCAAAGTTTCATTTAAAAAGGAAAAATTAACCTACAAATGAACAGTTAGATGTATCGAAGTTCCTTGTTACTTTGGGCAGTGTCATACAACCTGACTCAGCAATACTCATAGTATATAAGTACTTAAAGGTTAATTGAATAAACAAATGAGAAATGTTAGTTTCAGAGTATAGCGTCTTTGAGATGAGATTGCTTCTGTGGAAATTGAGATGAAAATTTCACAGAAACTGGAAGAGTTCCAGGCTTAATTTATCGCTTATTATGACCTTGGGAAGCTCCTTTAACTTCTTTGAATACTTAACTCCTACTGTGAAATGTGGAGATTGGATTAGATTTCTGTGATTCTTTAAGAGACAAGTTAACAGTTGGTGGTGTGCCCTTTATGTGTAGGCAGTTTAATAGATGATAGAAAAGCCAAAGGCAGGGAAGTTAATTCCTTTGGGTTCTATTTTCAGTTCTAGTATTTTTAGTTACATATTGTATGTAACAAACCAATTCTGATATAAAGCTACTAAATTAGTAGGTTTTTTCTTTTGCTGTTAGGTGACAAATCATCCAGAACCAGTTTCTCAGTCATTAACGCCTCAACAGCAGCCACAGTACAACCTTCCAGAACGAGACAAACAATTACTTTTCTCAGAATATAATTTTGAAGATCTCAGTGCCTCATTTCGGAGCCTTTATAAGTCAGTTTTTGAGCAATCACTTAGTCAACAAGGTGAGTTTTAATACTTTTTTGTTAATTGTTTATTGAAATTTTTTAAAGGATTATTTTCAGATTACACTGTTATATTTCCTTAATCTTAGAACATTACCATCATGATAAGGATTGAATGCCTTTTATGCCTTTACTGTAGTCTGTATATATAAGAAATCTGTCTCGTCATGCATGCCTACTTCATTTGATTACTACTGGTATCCTGGAGCACTGTGTTAAAGAATTCTGACACTGCATATATGGCATGTGGGAAAGACTGTCATGATTAATTAGTGATGTCTAGCATGTGAAGTGTTTCGAGTGGTAAATGTGGCATCACAAGAGTAGATGTGCCTTGCTTTCTGTCCTGACTGCTGTTACCAAAGAGATAGCTATTAGAGTATGGTAGCACCAAATTTGTGATTTCATATGTGACACATACAAGTAAACATCGTAGTTAGTAGTCATTATTTTGTACAACATACTTAAATCAGATTTAATGCTCAGAGAGATACTGGTTGAGATGCAGTATTATATTTCAACCACATACTAGATTTTTGCATTTATGTTGGGGTTTCTCAGGTGCATTTATGTATTACTGTCCTGTCAGCTGCTGGTTTAATTTTAATCAGAGTCATAGGATAGAATCAAGATGTCTCATTGTTATTCACCCATAGAACACTAGTCAGAAATTGTCAGGAACTCAAATATCGAAGCATTGCTTTGCTTGGCATGTTAACTATATTCCAGGTCAGAGAGTATACCTGTTCACAGCAGTAGACAAAATAGACAAAAATCCCTTCCTTTACATTTTAATACATATCGCTGACAAATATTATGAAAGTTAATGTTATACGTAAATATTACATGTATTGATGAGTATCAGTAGTTTGTATAGGAAGTTAGTTTTCTGGTTAAAGTAAGAGTCACGTGTTTTCTCAAATTTTATATTAAATTTTCTTTCTATAAAAGTGCCAAAAAAAACCCCACAAAACACCCATATAAGACTTTGCTAAGCAGATCCAGCTTTGCTGATCTCAGTACAAAAATACTGGCTTTGAAATATCAGTAGTAACAATTTCTTATGTTTGAACCCAAGATGGCTGGAATCCTTAAGACTAAGCAAAACAAACAAACAAACAAACAACCAGCCATCTCTAGTGTTCTGTTTCATTACTTTATGGAACATTCTTGAGATAGACACAGTTTAGTGGCTTGTAATCCTCACAGCAACTCTTATGAAGCACATACCATTGTCATCCCTATTTATAATTGAGGTGATTGTGACTTGGCGAGGTTAATAACTCTCCAGAGTTACCAAGTGTATAAATTGTAGTGCAGAGATTTTAATTCTTCTTTTCTGGCATTAAGAAATACGTAATCTTAACCCTTAAACTGCCATATTGGACTTAAAGTTTTTGGAGTAGTCAAGAGAAAGAGATCAAAAATAAATGGGCTTTATTTCTACTCTTTTGCCGAAGGTCTTCAGACCTGTAGAGAACCATCTTGAATGTGACTCAGTACCTCATCCTCTTTTCCCTTAATGTTTAGTCATCTTCCAAGGGGCTTCCTTGGTGGTGCAGTTGGTAAAGAATTCACCTGCAGTGCGGGAGACCTGGATCCCTGGGTTAGGAAGATCCCCTGGAGGGGGGCATGGCAACCCACTCCAGTATTCTTGCCTGGAGAATCCCCATGGACAGAGGAGCCTAGCAGGCTGCAGTCCATGGGGTTGTAAAGAGTCTGATGTGACTGAGCGACTAAGGACAGCACAGCACATCTTTCAAGACAACCCAGATATTGCCTTTTCAAAGAAGGCTTCCTTGTATTTCGATGCCCCTTCCTAGGTAGAACAGGGAAGAAGCAGAGTTTCTGTATTCCCTCTGATTACTTTTGCTTTAGTACTTACAGTGTTGGACATAATCTCCTCAAGTGTTTGTTTCTTCCCCTCTGCCATGAGCTATTGAGGACAGAGAATGATGTTTCTTCTCGGTAACCCCAGAGCCCAGGGTATGGTGGATATTCTATCAGCACTTGTTAAACTGAACTAGAATTGCTTCCTGACAGCATATACTTTTGCTCTGTAAATGATTTTGCAAATGTTTGTTATAATATACAACTGAAATCTGACCATCAGTGATCTTGCTTTCTCTGTTTTCAGGTTTGATGAACATCCCTTCCGAATCTTCCCAGCAGTCCCACACTTCTTGTTCCTATCAGCACTCTCCCAGCAGTACAGTGAGCTCTCACCCACACAGCAACCAAAGCAGCCTGACCAACAGTCACGGCAGTGGCCTCAACACCACGGGCAGTAATTCGGTTGCACAGGTCTCACTGTCACATCCCCAGATGCACACACAGCCGTCTCCACATCCGTCCCATCGACCGCATGGTTTACCGCAGCATCCACAGCGTCCCCAGCACCCAGCACCACACCCACAGCAACACAACCAGCTCCAGTCACCTCACCCCCAGCACCCGTCTCCACACCAACACATACAGCACCATCCGAACCACCAGCATCAGACGCATCAGACGTTGACACATCAGGCACCTCCACCCCCACAGCAGGTATCCTGTAATTCTGGTAAGTTTTTGTCTTCTGACTTGTGTTTGGCTATGAATTCCAGTCTCTTATCTGGGGCTTATATATATTTTCTGTCCATACTCTTCTAATCTGTCTTCTTTTATGTTTCCTTGCTGTAGTCCTATAGTTGTTTGTAAATCGTTTAATCCATAGATTAACCTGGATTATTGTCTTGATTACAATTTATTAGTATAACATAAGCAAACTCAGCAACCCTTGCAGGTTTTGGTTTTTAACTCCTTGTCCTTCTGGAAAATGAGCATTTTAAAGAAGAATGTAATACACAGTCTGTCTGCAATCTATTGTGATTCAGTATGGTATAGAAGAAAGAGTATAGATTTGTGTCTGAAAGACAACAATCCTCATTATGCGTTTCAGTCCTCATTATGACTCTTAGATCTTTGGTGCAGTAACTCTTTCAGTCTTGTTATTTTTTTAATCTATAAAAATAAAACAACACTGGTATACAGTGCTCTATGAGGATCATGTTGGAAATACAAATATAAAATGCCTAGTCTGGCGTGTCTGCTTAGTCACTCAGTCATGTCCAACCCTGTGATGCTGTGGACTGTAGCCTGCCAGGTTCCTCTGTCTGCGGAATTCTCCAGGCAAGAATACTGGAGTGGGTAGCCATTCCCTTCTCCAGGGGATGTTCCCAACCCAGGGATCAAGTCCTGATCTCTTGGACTGCAGGCATATTCTTTACTGCCTGAGCCACCATGCAAGTCTTGTACTTTGTTGAATGCCAAGTGTTTCATTTAGAATGATAGATTCATACCCTGAATTTTTTTTTTTTAAGTCTGTTGCTCGTAAGATAGGTCTTGATGGTTTCTGGTGAGATGCTTAACTGACATTGCTCACAGACCAGGCAGTCTCTGCATTGCAGAACTCCAAAGGGTGCCACAGACTTCTGCAAGGTGAATGGGGCCTCTTGGAATTTTGCAGAATACAGCTGGGTTCAATTCTTAGATAAATCACAGTGGTTTTGTTAAGTTATGTCACCTCTAGGTTCAATTTCATTTATTTGTAAAGTGCAGAGAAATAATACCTTTCCTGTCTGTCTCACAGAACAGATTGCCCCAACACAGGATATGGTGGGTTTGAATCCATTTATAAAACTGGATTGGGATCAGCCAATACCAGGAATAAGGCTAGCTCAAACTTTTGCTATCCAAGGTTTATAATATTGTCAGTATTATTCTTATAGGTGTTTCAAATGATTGGTATGCAACACTTGATATGCTCAAAGAAAGCTGTCGAATTGCCAGCAGTGTTAATTGGTCAGATGTAGACCTCTCACAGTTCCAAGGTGAGTATTGGTTCCTTCTGCCTTATAACCAAATATACATGATCATGTGTTTTTGAGTACACTGTAAGTGTCTTTGAAATAAGCGTGTCCTTATATAGTGTTTCTTTTACAATTGGTAGTATGCTTAAAAACAACACTTTGTAAAATTCTTAATTAAGTCTTTTGGCCAGTTGATGTAGTGAATGGTCACAGACAAGAGATCTGAGGGAAATAAGAATCAGTCTGAATAATTTAGAAAATGTCATAAGCAAAAGATTACCAGTGGAAATTTTGAGGGCTGGAAAAATGCTGTTTTCTTTGCAACGATTGCAGGACCAAGCTAACAGTATTTTTAATGTTTTTCCCATAGGTTTGATGGAGAGTATGAGGCAGGCAGATCTCAAGAACTGGTCTTTAGATCAGGTTCAATTTGCTGATCTCTGTTCTTCTCTTAATCAGTTCTTTACACAAACTGGCCTTATCCACTCACAGAGTAATGTACAGCAGAATGTCTGTCATGGTGCCATGCATCCAACAAAACCTTCCCAACACATCGGAACAGGTATGGCTTTAATTTTCTTCTTTAATTTTTCTCTTTTTCTCATTCATATTCAGTAACTGTTTAGGGCAGCTTGATATGTTGTTAATGATAGAAGTGATCCATTTATATCTTTTTATTTCTAAGAAATAAATGAAATCAAGTAATTTAAGGTATATCTTAGAAAAAGTAAGGTAAAAGAAACTATGTTTTTATTTACTTGATTATTTTATTGTTTGTGATCTTTAACCTTTCAAGTTACCAATCAAGAAAATGTCTTAAGGATATGTACATTTTAATTGTGATAAGAACATAGTTTTAAGGTGTTAACAGTTTAAATTTGTATAGACTTGCAATGAAAATCAACACATCTTACATATCTTCTAAGAATGTTAAAATTAATTTATTTAAAGAGTATACATAATGGAAGTCTCATTTAAGTTTTACTCTGAACTCAAAATTTGTGCTCTGCATTTTTCATCTCACTTTTCTTCTTCTATTCTTTCCCCTTATAGCCATCTCATTTATTCTGTGAGATTGCAGTGCCTACAGTTTTCTAAAGTTTATATTCTGTGTTTAATATCCAAGTTCTTTCTCTCTTCATTTTAATTTCTTGATGCCTTTTATATCCAAGTTGACTTCTTTCCTGTTCATTGTCTTGTTTTAAAACTTGATGCTGAAAAGCCCTCTTTTTCTATCCTGAGTTGCTTCATTCAGTTGTTATCCTAGCTTATTTCACATACTTGATCTTTCCATATGCTCTAGATCCCTAGTCCTTTTTGTGAATCTTCATTTCTGTGTCTTTTTTTGTTTAGTTTATTTTTTAATTGAAGGGTAATTAATTTACAGAATTTTGTTGTTTCCTGTCAAACCTCAACATGAATCAGCCATAGACATACATATATGCCCTCCCTCTTCAACCGCCCTCCCATCTCCCTCTCCATCCCACCCCTCTAGGTTGATAAAGAGCCCCTGTTTGAGTTTCCTAAGACATAGGCAAATTCCCATTGGCTGTCTATTTTACATGTGATAATATAAGTTTCCATGTTACTTTCTCCATACATATCCCCCTCTCCTTTCCTCTCCCCATGTGCAGAAGTCTGTTCTTTATGTCTGTTTCTCCATTGTTTCCCTGTAAATAAATTCTTCGGTACCATTTTTCTAGATTACATATATATGCGTTGGTATATGACACTTATCTTTCTCTTTCTGACTTACTTCACTCTGTATAATAGGTTCTAGGTTCATCCACCTCATCAGAACTGACTCAGATGTGTTCCTTTTTATGGCTGAGTAATATTCCATCATGTATATGTACCACAACTTCTTTATCCATTCATCTGTCGATGGACATCTAGATTGCTTCCATGTTCTAGCTGTTGTAAATAGTGCTGCATTGAACATTGCGGTATATGTGTCTTTTTCAGTTTTGGCTTCCTCAGGGTATATGCCTATGAGTGTGCCTGCTAGGTCATATGGTGGTTTTATGTATCTATACACATCACATTTATCTGTTCATCTGTTAATAAACACTTGGGTTGCTTCCATGTTTTAGCTATTGTGAAAAAGGTTGTGTGAACGTGAAAGTACAAATATTTTCTAGGCCGTGCTTTCAGTTATTTTGGGTATATACTCAGAAGTGGAATTGCTGGATCCTATGCTAATTCTTATGTTTCATTTCTGAGAAACCATCATACTGTTTTTCATAGCAACTGTACCATTTTACATTCCCACTAACAGTCATAAAGGCTCTAATTCCTCTACATCCTTGCCAACATTTGTTATTTTCTCTTTTTTTAATTTCAGTGGGTGTGCAGTAGAGTCTCATTATAGTTTTGATTTGTATGGTTAATGATGTTGAGCATCTTTTCATCTTATTGGCCTTTTTTTTTTTAATCTTCTTTGGGAAATGTTCTTTGCCCATTTTTTGATCAGGTTTGTTTTTTTGTTGCTGAGTTTTAGGAATTCTCCTTATTTGTGAATATTAACTCCTTATGAATTATAAGATTTATATATATTTTCTCCCATTCTTTTGTTTTCTTTTTTACTGTGTTGTTAGTGTTGTTTATTTTTCTTTTGTTCTGTATACCTTCAGTATAATATCCAAGAAATCATTGTCAAATTCAGTGTCATGAAGCTCTATTTTCTTCTAAGAATTTTAAAATTTTAGGTCTTACATATAAGTCTAACCATTTTAAGTGAATTTTTGTATATGGTGTTATATAGCAGTCCAATTTCATTCTTTCGTGTGTGTGTGTATCTAGTTTTCCTGTTACCATTTGTTGAAAAGACTGTCTTTTGCCCCATTGAATGGTCTTGAACAGCTTGTTAGAAATCATTCAACTATATATATATATGTGTTGCAGGATTTTTTATTCTGTCTCATTGGTCTTTATGCCAGTACATTGTCCAACTATGGTATCTTTGTAGTAAGTTTTGAAATAAGAAGTGTGATGGAACTCTGCTCAATGTTATGTGGCAGCCTGGATGGGAGGGGAGTTCAGGGGAGAATGGATACATGTATGATTATGCCTGAGTCCCTTCACTGTTCCCCTGAAACTATCACAACATTATTAATCAGCTGTACTGCAATACAAAATAAAAAGCTCAAAAACAAAAAAGAAGTGTAGTCCACCAGCTTTATTCTTTTTCTGGGTAGTTTTGACTGTTCAGGGTCTCTTGAGATTGCATATGAATTTTAGGATGGGGTTTTCTGTTTCTACAAAGGTCATTGAGATTTTTTTATATGGATTACATTGAATCTGTAGCTTGCTTTGACATATTAAGTCTTGAAGTCCATGAACATGACATGTGTGTCTATGTCATCTTTAATTTTTTTTCATCAGTGTGTTGTAGTTTTCATTGTACAAGTTTTTAATCTCTGTAAGTAAGTTAATTTATTCCTAAGTATTTTATTCTTTTTGATGTCACTGAAAATGGGATTTTTTGTTATTTCCTTCTCAGATTGTTCATATATAGGAATGTGATTGAATTTTTCATGTTGACTTTGTATCCTGCTACTTTGCTGAATTCATTTCTTATAACAGTTTTTTGTGTGTAATCTTTAGGGATTTTTACACGTGAAATTATATCTGTGAACAGAGATGAATTTACTTCCTTTTCCAGTTGGATGCCCTTTGTTTCTCTTTCTTACCTAATTACTCTGGCTGGGATGTCCAGGACTGTGTTGAATAGAAGTGGTGAAAGTGGACATCTTTGCTTTGGTCTTAAGCATAGCGGAAAACCTTTCAGTCTTCTACTATTGAATATGATGTTTGTTGTGGGATTTTCATACATGGCTTTTATTATGTTGAAGTGATTTCTTTCTATTCCTAATTTGTTGAATGTTTTTATCATGAAATGGCTTCCCTCGTGGCTCAGACAGTAAAGAATCTCCCTGCAATGCAGGAGATGTGGGTTTGATCCCTGGATTGGGAAGATCCTATGGAGAAAGGAATGACTACCCACTCTAGTATCCTTGCCTGGAGAATTCCATGTAAAGAGGAGCCTGGCAGACTACATCTCATGGGGTTTCAAAGAGTCAGACACAACTGAGCAACTGACACCTTCATACTTTTATCATGAAAGGTGTTGACTTTTGTCAAATCTTTTTCTGCATCAGTTCAGATGATTGTGTGGGTTTCCCCCCCTTCATTCTGTTAATTTGGTTATAAAACTGGTAAGTTTTAGTTCTTCAGATATGTGGTAGAATTCACCCATGAAGCCATCAGATCCTGGGATTTTCTTTGTACAGGTTTTTTTTTTTATATTGAATCTTCTTATTTATTATAGGTCTGTTCAGGTTTCTTCTTTTTTCATTATTCAGTTTTTGTTGATTTTGTGTTTCTAGTAATTTGTCTGTTTCATCTAGAGTGTCCAGTTTGTTGGTATACAGTTATTCAAAGAGTTCTCATTCTTTTTATTTCTGTAGAATCAGTAGTAATGTTACTATTTTGAGTTCTCATGTTAGTAATTTGGATCTGTCTTTCTTAGTCTATTTAGTTAAAGCGTTGTCAGCTTTGTTTTTTTCTGAAGAACCAACTTCTGGTATTACAGATTTTTCTGTAATGTTTTACTGTTCTCTATTTGATTTATCTCTGCTCTAATCTGTACTACTTCTTCCTGTCTGCTGGCTTTGGGTTTGGTGTCTTCTTTTTGTAGGTCTGTTTTTTAATGTAAGTCTTTATAGCTATAAATTTCTGTCTCAAAACTGCTATTGCAGTTTCCTATAGGTTTTGGTATGTTCTGTTTTTGTTTGTATTATCTCTTAAATATGTTCTGATTTCCCTTGCGACTTCTTTAATCCATTGTGTTAAGTGTGTTAATTTCCACAAATCTGATAATTTTCCTGTTTTACTTCTTTTTTTGATTAATTTGTCCCACTGTGGTCAGAGAAGACACTTTGTATGGTATTTATCATTTAAAATCTACTGAGGGACTTCCCTGGTGGTCTAGTGGCTAAGACTCCACGCACTGTATACAGAGGGCCCAAGCTGAATCCTTGGTCAGGGAACCTGTATGCCACAACTAGGATTGAAGGTCTTCCATGCAATAGCTAAGACCCAGTTCATCCAAATAAATAAATATTTTTTAGAAATCTGTTGAGACTTGATTTGTAGCCTAACATGGTTTATTCTGGAAAATATCTGATGCACTTGAGAAGAATGTTTATGCTGTTATTGTTGGGTAGAATGTTCTATATATATCTATTAGATCTAGTTGGTTTATCACGTTAAATCCTCTGTTTGCTTATCTTCTGTCTGGTTCTATCCATTATTGAAATAATGGGTATTTAAGTCTCCAACTATAATTGTAGAGCTGTTTATTTCTCTTTTCAATTCCGTTTTTGCTTCGTGATTTTTGCAATCTATTATTAGGTGCATAAATGTGCATAAGCAATTATAAATGTTTATAATTGTTCTGTCTTCTTGCTATATTGCACCTTTTGTTGATATATAATATCCTTTACAGGGAGTAAGACTTTACAAGATATCGCTTATAACCTTTTTTGGTTTAAAGTCTTT